CAGCAAATGAAAGACCCTTTCTTTCATACTCTCTATAGAAACTTTTCAATAAAAATAAATAAATCATTAAATGTATGGAAGGGTGTGAGATTCACAGGGCTGGATGCTTCACTAGATCCTCTTTTTTAAAAAGGAATAATTCAAAGTAATAGATAACATACGTGTGTGTTAGTCAATCAGAAATGAGTGTGTAAAGAATTGACTTCAGAATACTGAATGTCCATCTCTTAATGGTCGGTTCATCATGGTACAAAGCTGTCCAACATATTGTCAGTCATATTGCTTCTTGTAAATGTTTTGCTCAGTGTGTTCAACAACAAATAACTCTAAGATCCCTACATGCGAAAGAAAGAAACAAAGAAAACCTTTCACATTTTCTCGTAGCATCATCTTGGTAAATGCACTCTCTCACACTTCATGGCAACAGTTTCCTTTTACTGATTTGTAAAACAATTGTGCCCTATAAAATTACTTTCAATTTTTCCAGAAACACAGCGGCCTAGTGGAAAATATACTTGATTTGGAACTCTATCAAAGTCACTTTGTTTAAAACGGAAGAAGTAACACTGGGCTTTAGGACCAGCAGAAAGGAAGCGGAAAGGCGCAAGGGCAGAGACGCACGAGGTGCAAGTACCGGAAGTTGTGCACGCGCAGGAGTCAGTGCCCAAGTCCCGGAAGTTGTGTACGCACAGGAGTCAGTGCCCAAGTACCGGAAGTTGTGTACACGCAGGAGTCAGTGCCCAAGTGCCGGAAGTTGTGTATGCGCAGGAGTCAGTGCCCAAGTACCGGAAGTGGTGCATGCGCAGGAGTCAGAGCCCAAGTACCGGAAGTTGTGTACGCGCAGGAGTCAGTGCCCAAGTACCGGAAGTGGTGTACGCGCAGGAGTCAGTACCCGGCTACCTGAGTGTCCAGCCAGGCAACACAGCTTCACGCCAGCGTGTGTCTAAGAAAATTCACCCGCAGAAGCAGACTAAAAGGGAAGGATCTGGAGAATTCCTAGGGCAAAATTCCAGAGCCTTGCCACTGGAGATCCATGAGAATCCAAAATCCCTGAACAAATAATGCCATTCTTGATGAGGCATTCAAGGATCACCACGCCAAGAAGCACAGTCCTCCACAGAAGGCAGTTTTACTAATATGGTAAGGCCCCTGGAGGGTTGCTGAAAATAAGCTAAAACAGTGTATAATTTACTTTAGCAAATTCCTTACATACAATCTTATTTATATACCAATTGATAACGAAGGGTATTAAAATGCAGATGATATAAGGCCCGGTGTGGTAGCCTGGCAGCTAAAGTCCTCACCTAGAACACACCAGGATCCCATACGGGCAACGGTTCTAATCCCAGCAGCCCCACTTTCCATCCAGCTCACTGCTTGTGGGAGACCCGGAAGCAGTTCCTGGCTTCTGGTTTTAGCTCAGTGCAGTTCCAGCTGTTGCAGCCACTTGGGGAGTGGATCGGCAGAAGGAAAATCTTCCTCTCTGTCTCCCCTCCTCTTCGTATATCTGACTTTGCCAAAATAATAATAATAATAATAATGTTTTTTTTAAATGAATCTATCGCTTCTCGGCCTTTTGGCTAAGATCAAGTGTAAAAAAATGAAGAATCTGCCTTGCCTCACTAGCGGCACCTTAAAGTTTTTCATTTATAATCAATGTATAAGGAAACCAGGTCCATAAATTTTATTACATTTCATTTTCATATTCATCACTAAACAGATTTCTCTGTTATATTATACAGCACAATTTTTCATGAAGGTTTATGATCTTAGTTTAATTGATAAACTATTTTTATCGCAAAGTCAGAGTACAGAATACAGAGGCAGGGGGAGAGATGGAGAGGAAGATCTATCTTCTGTTGATTGACTCCTCAAAGTGGACCCAACGGCTGATATTGTGCCAATCCGAAGCCAGGAGCCAGGAGCCTCTTCCGGGTATCCCACGCAGGTGCAGGGTCCCAAGGCTTTGAGCCATCCTCAACTGCCTTCCCAGACCACATGCAGGGACCTGGACAGGAAGCAGGGCGGCCAGTGTTAGAACCGGCGCCCATATGGGATCCTGGTGGCTTTCAAGGCGAGTACTTTAGCTCCAAGGCTACCACACCAGACCCAGAGATATCCCTATGCAGAATAATAGGGAGAAATCAAACCAAATATTGGTAGAAAAGTACAAAAAGAGTATTTCATGGACAAATAAAGAATGCTGCTTGCTAGATCGAAAAGGTCATTCTCTAAAACACAGTTTTCCTGTGAACTGTTTACTAGATGAATTAGCTGCAGAGCGACTTGATCAGTCACAAACTCTCCATGTTATTATCAACTTGTTTTAACAGCAGCTCCAATCAGGACACATCCAAAAGCATCACTATGATAGCATCAATACTACTTCCTTAAAAGGCAAGAGGGGAGAATTTCTGGAATATTATCTGCACTACGACAGAAGCCCAACGTGATCATGAGTGCCAACATTTCTTGTACAGCAAGGACAAACAAAAAAGTGTTGGGAATTTGTGCTTCGAGCTAGGAAAGCCTATCTACGTGCCCTCCCTGAATCAAAACCACTGGCCAGAAGGTTCAAGATGGTTTCTGATACTTTTAGGTGTCCCTTCTCCCAAAGATGTATGTCCAAGCTTGGTCTAGCCAAGAAAAAAAAAAAAAAAAGACTACGCATTTCCTTAGTGGGCCATGTTTTACATCAACATAAGCTTCCTTGGGATGGCCAGGGAAAATTAGGGGAGCACAATTCATCTGCAGAGTTCCTCTGCTGCTGTCTGTTAGCTTTTCTTTCACTACCTCTCATCCCACAGAAATCTAGTCCTCGTGTGTTATGGCTTAGCCAAAGGCATGAGAGTATGACACCCACCCAGGCCCAAATGGCCACTTCTGAGACCACAGGTCAGTATCGACCTGAGCTAACTCAGGTCATGATGATTTCTCTCTCCCTTCTCCCTTCTTCTTCCTCCTTCCTGCCTTCCAACGTCCTTTTCCCTTAGGGGGAAGAAAAGGCGACTAGTTAAGTGAGTGGCTTGGAATTAGTTAAGAAGTTGTGAAATGAATATCCTCCTCAATGCAAGCACACAAGGCCATCATGTGGTGTGGATCACTGCCCCGGGGAGATGCAGGTGCTAATGGGGGAAAGAGAACAGGGGCGGAAAGAAACGCAATCCAGCCATACGAAGGGAACAATTTGTCTTAGTCCCCCCTTTTACCACACTGTGAATATACGCTATGTATTCAGTAGTAGCTCATTTCAGGTAATAGGATTTCAAAAATTGGAAAGTCCCTCTGTCTTAACGTACAGGACCCTCTTTAACCAACTGAGACAGGCATGTGGTAGTTATGAAGATGCCAGTGGGAAAGACAGAGAAGCTTCATACACAGCTCCAAGGCAGTCACAGAAATACAGATGCAGAGATAAACATAAGCAAACACACAGATAGGGATATATAGAGAGATATCTCCCAATGGTTATGGAACATTTCTTTCTACATGCAATAAATATCCTCATCCCCTCCACAAATCCTTATCTCCCTTACGCCTTTTACGTCTCAAAATCACAGCATCACGCATGCTGGAGTCTCTCTGGAAGAAAAAGCAAAGCCTCCGGGCTGGTGCCAATGCCACGCCCTCCACTCCTCACTGTCAGACGTCATAGTGAGGTTTGACGGTTCCATCTACTTGCAACCCACCGCCCACAGTCCCATGCAGAGCACCTGTGTGTACCTTCCTTCTGGATGGCCAAGCCCACAATCAGCCTGCCTCAACAGACGTTCCCTCTGAAGGGCCACAATGCAGAGCACCCCTTCTGCTTGAACCACCACCTTGTCGTAAGCGCACCTGGATGTCTGAACAGCCCTTCGCCGTCCCCTCTCCTCTCCGTGCCAACTGGTCCTGGGCAGCCCCCAACGCTCTCTCCGGAGGTTTTCCTTTCCAGATGGCATACATTTTTACTTGCAGTGAGTCACTGGAAAGATTGTAACTGCCAATCATGATTTCATATGAACGCTTCCAGTGCACACAGCTCTTCCCAACAAATCTGTGATGTAGCTCCTCACCGAGTGTCTGCACAGAGGAAAGAGAACTGACACCCACCTCCCGACATGACCCCAGGAGCCACAAACTGCGCTTCTGAAATCCTCTGCCAGATAGCAAACAGGGGCTCCTCCTCTCTTAAGTCCAAACATACCAGCTAAGAAAAATCTACTAGAGGAAGGGAAAACTGCTCCCAATAGACTTTGCAAAACTATAAGAAATGTTATGAAAACCTCTAACTCATTTGCTTATAAAATTTAATCAACATGCACTGATACCATTTTAACAAAATAATAAAAAAACAACTATGCTTCTTTCTGTAACAAACACAACATTAGAGATAGTTAAAAAAAAAATACACTTTTGAAACACCAACGATCCAAGCATTTTCAATAAGGGACGCCTAACCTATGTCATTATCCCTTCTTACCGTTTACAAAGCATTTAAGAGCCAAGCATGATTACTTTCAATAGACAAGAGAGCCAGGCAAAGAAAGTGAAGCAAAAGAAAAACAAGTTTCTTTAGTCTGATGTGGAATTCAGAACTACTTTTCCTTGACTATAAAATGCTTAACTTTGGGCACAGTGCCATGGCCTATCGGCTAAAGTCCTTACCTTGGAACATGTCAGGATCCCATATGGGCACCGGTTCTAATCCCAGCAGCCCCACTTCCCATCCAGCTCCCTGCTTGTGGCCAGAGAAAACAGTCAAGAACAGCCCAAAGCCTTGTGACCTTGCACCCATGTGGGAGACCAGGAAGAGGCTCCTGGCTCCTGGCTTCAGATCGGCGCAGCACCACCCATTGCAGCCATTTGGGAAGTGAATCATTGGATGGAGAATATTTCTCTCTGTCTCTCCTTTTCTCTCTCTCTCTATATATATATGTATATATATATGCACACACATATATGACTTTGAAATAAAATTAATCTTAAAAAAAAGCAACTTTTGTGTGTGTGTGAATGTTAAAAAGTTGAAATACTTCACGAGTTTGCGCATCATCCTTGCGCAGGGGCCATGCTCATCTTCTCTGTATCCTTCCAATTTAGTATATATGATGCCGAAGCGAGCGCAGAATAGCCAACTTTTTAACAACTCTGCCACCATCCAGCTGAAACTATGTTGTTTGAACAAGGATATTCAGGAGCCAACAAATTACATCATGCGGAAGCTAAACGCAAGTAACAAAATAGGGGTAAATGTAGGGCAGGATCCAAACAGGATGATCAGAAAAGGGACAGCAGAAATACTCTGCGTATTGACAGATGTGACCATAACTGATAGCTCTGATGAAAGTAGCCTAACTACCATCGCAAAAAGCATGGTAAATAGGAGAAAGTATAAAATGCAAATGGAGAGGAAAAGTTAATTTCAATAGAGTAATTTATTGTGCCATCAAAATAAGCCACAATATCATTGCAGTAGGCTTGGAAAACTTCGATGACTAGATTAATGATAACATCAATCTAGTACTTTCCATTTTCTCAAAATTATCTACCAGAATAACGTGTGACTTACTATTTCCATTTCAATTTATATCTTGACAGAAACCTTCACCCAAGCTAACACTCCACATTTCCAACTGTCTGCAGAATGGCTCCTATTATAAAAAGCTTACATTTAACATATTGGTGAAATCATTTGCTCCACAAAATCAGTGCTCCCCGCCGATTGGCTCGTTTGTACAGAGACACAGCTATTCTTCCTCTTACCCAAGTTCAAAATGTCAGCTTCAAGCTGAATTCTGTGCACACATTTATTCCCCATAGGGATATGCATGCAACTGGATTTCAAACATAAGGACTCCAACTACTCAATACTGTGAAAACCCTCTCCCTGCCGATAGGAACCCTCACCGCCTTTTGGAATTTGCTCCTCATTCATCTCTATTGTGCTCTCTGTCAGGTAAGCTCTTCAGAGCAATCATTATCTCAACTTCACATTCCCTTCTAAACTTCAGTTCCTTCAGCAGGAAGACAGTATCTCTGAAATCGCTTCAGTCCTCAGCAGAAAGTTGTCCCCAGATTCAATACTCAAAAATGAACTTACTAATTTGAATCTTCTCTTCTCCACGACCACTAAAACTCGGGTAAACTTTGAGATGATGCCAGCATAGCGATTATCACTCAGAAACTTCGAAAAGGGCTGTATTCTTATGAAGTTGACTAAATCTAATTGACTCAAGAAGCTCCTCAGATTGTTAAACTGGGCCTGCCTGTGCTGTCCAGGAACTCGACACGTGGTCCCAAGTTCAACCAAAGGATGCAATTATTCCATCCGTACCTACCCATGTGGCTAACTCATATATCATTTCAGACTGTCACTACCTCCAATGACCCAAATAATACACTTGGCTGCTACGACATTAGACCCTAATGTACCGTCTATTTGCTTAACTCACTTCAGGAGCGTTACTAAGGCTGCCATGGCGATCCTCGGTATGGATACCACTTGCCAAGAGAAATGTGAAAGCAGACTTGTAATAAATGCTGTAAATCATCCCCCATAACACAAACACACGATTTACAGCAACAATGTTATTATTATTCCAGCTTCGTGATCAATTTACCATTAGTAAAGGTACCTGTTCTTGGTATCTCTTCTCTAAAACGGGTTGAAAGCTATGCAATTATAACAGGACTCAAGAAAGACTTCACTCTCTGCCTTGAGCAGCACGAGGCAGAGTAGGGTTTAAGATTAAAGAATCCCCCTGCTGTGCAAAGAATCAGAAAACACAAAGTGTGCTGCACACCGATGTTAGTTAAATAAAAGTCTGCCTACTGCATTGAATAAGAAAGAGAAGACAAGGCAGAATGAGGCCTTCCGAATGACATGCTGTTCAAACAGCTGATGCTACAACAAGACGCAGGAAAAACCAAAAATGTCCACAGCCAAGGGCCTGGGCAAAGGGAGTCTAGGGTAGGTGAGGTCATCCAATCTCTTAAGAGCTTCCCATCTTCTCCCCTCACTGTCCAGGCCACTTCTCCAGGGTTCATCTCCCAAGTGTTCCTCCAACCTTACACTTATTCCTCTAATTCAAACACATTGATTTCACTCCCATTTGCCAAATGATCCACAGCACACTCCTGCCTTCTTCATTTTGTCTACACCTTGAAGGGTCTTCTCTCACTAAGCGACATGGCTCCGTCCTGTGCTTCCCTCTGTACATCTCTGCCCGACACAGGGCATCTGGTAGAGTGGTGAGATGCGTGCATTCCACACGCGAGAGCCTGGTTCACACTTCTGGCCCCACTGCTCCCAGTCCAGGATCCTAATAATGTGCACACTGGGAGACAGCAGATGATGGCTCAAGTTGTGGGTTCCTGCCACCCATATGGGGGATTCAGATTGAGTTGTAGATTCCGAGCTTATTTCTGCTCCAGTCTCAGCTACTGAACACATGGAAACTAGATCAGCAGATGGAAGATTTATGTCTGTCTCTCAGTGTGCCTTTCAATTAATGAAAAGAAATTTTCAAAGTTTCTGCTCTGGGCCTGGCATTGCGATACAGTAGGTTAAGCCTCCACTTCTAAACACTGTCACTGACAAAGAGCCAGTTCAAATCCTGGCTGCACTGCTTCCAAGGCAGCTCCCTGGAAACGCAGCTGGGCAAGGCCACAGAAGATGAGCCAGTGCTTGTGAGCCTGCCACCCACCTGGAGGGTCAGGATGGGTATCCTGGCTTGAGCATGGCCCACATCTGTCTGTTGGAGGCCTTCAGGGAAGGAAGCAACGGATGGAAGAAGCCACTGTCTCTTTGTTTCTCTGTCCCTCTCTGTGATGCTCTTTCAAAAACAAGCTTTAAAAAAAAACCCTCAAACACTCAAAACTTGATACGTGACTGCCTATCCAACAACCTAAGATGCCCTCTTCACATTGCCAGACTTGGGGCAATTATCATATTGTAACATATCAGAGAATTCAACTGCAATTTTATCATGTATAATATGTCTTCCTATTCTCTTCCCCTGCCACCCCACATACATCAGGATGGAAATTCTGTGAGGAAAGGAATTTCGCCTTTTTATTCACAAAGCTATCCCCAGTGACCGCATAAAGACACAGTATGAATTCAGAACTCCATTGATACTAGCTGCATGACTGACAGAATAAACATACAAATGATAGAACTATCATCCTTGAAGGTCCTAGTATTTGAAGCATTTCTCACCCACAGCAATTGTAGAACACCTTCCCAGGCACTATGGGTTAAAAGGAATAAAGAATAAGAGCTCTCAGCCTCAAGCACTTGTCCCCTAACTGCTTCGTCATCTAAGGCCAAAAGCTGCCTGGACCAATTAGCCTAGTCATACACTTCCTCCAACATCTGCCAGACACTTGCCGAAATGGCAGAAGTTTACAAGGGAAAAGAAACCAACCACAGGTGTGCATGTTGAGCAGCTGGGCGGTCCCTTCAGAAAAGTTCTCAAAGAATTCTTTAGATCCCACTGCACACATAATGGGGGTGATCTGTGCACCTTACATATGAACCAAGTAGTAACAATATCGCTAGTTCAAATGACCTGTTTTCAAAAGCAATTCACTTTAGATGTAGAAATTTAAAATACTGCTTGCTTTAATGAGTGTTCATTAGAGTGTTTCGGATACTTAAAGTTTCCTGGTTTGCTCAAAATGTATGTTATGTCCATATATGATGTCTAGGCCTTTATCTCTCTTCCATCTTAAACTCAGGTTAAAGTCTAACATGTCATTAAGAAGCTAGGTCTGCAATATGATTTTAGAATGACTAGGGTTTGTTAAGGATTTCAATTCCCAAAAATGCTTCTGTTGTAAGGGTTATTCTTGAAATAAAGGCAAGAGACGGGGTTTGGAGAGAAGGAAAGAGAAAAGCAGGGATATGTATGGGACAGCCAACTCGGTCTTTTGAAGGTTAGGTGTTCATTTTACAGGAACAGAATATATGTAGCATATATTTCAATATGTCCCTAGAAAAAAGTATGCAGGGAATGACAGAGCTATTTCTACCACTGGAAACTGGAAAAACATGTAAGGGAAATTGGCCAAAATAAAGGCCACACTTGCCAAGTCACTGAAATTGAAAATATGTTCCCTTATACGCAATATTCCATGGTCAAAGCCAAACCCATGAAAACAAGGAGATTCTAGGCCTGAGTCCGGGGTGATCCTACACTGTGCATGCTTGTGTTTATGAGGCCCGTGTCTGGCTGACCCAGCACAGATTGGTCCATGTATCTATCTCCCCCGATTACCCTGGTTTTTCTCTTTCCCCTTCATCTAGAGGAAAACAAATACGATAGAACTATCTATGATGTTGGCACCCAACAGGGACGAGTTAGAATACACACAGGGTTGTGGACAGGCCATCTCTGGGATGATCTACAATCTAACCTGTTCCACAGGGAGGTTAACTATCCCCTCGAAACTTTCCTGTCACCTTGCAAACCTGTCACTTCTTGAGTTGCTGTTAAGAATATTAGGATTTAATGAACACAAATAATAAATCTTCGCAGTCATCAGCCAGTTACTTTACCTTGAACCGCGATTGCCTCTTTCCTCTGTTCTATGGGCTTTCTGTATTCCCTCTCTTCTTACACTCCAGAAACACCATGGTGAGAACTGTGGCCTCTTTCATGCAACATGCTAATGTTAACAAGACGTGTAGTTCTATAGGACATCAAAAAGCATCTCAAGAATCCTGTAAGTGCTGACTGAACTTGCCTGAATTACCCACACTACTTCCTCCTCCACATTCCCTAAGCATTATTTGTTTTCTGAATATGTGGAAGGAATAATGATAAAAGCGGTCTATAGACAGGTCAGGGTAAAACCTCTGGCCACAAACAAACATATATGCAATAAAATTATGCCCAAGGCAGTAGTAGCTTGAACTCCATTTAAACATTCAACCTCCAGCAACAGTTGCTCCCACCCCCAATACCACAGTCCTTCCATGACATTCTAACAAACTAAATGTTATCTCACAAGCTACAAAAATAGTTGAAGGATCATTCCTTGCAGTTAAGTGTGTAATTCATGCAAAAATTAAGGAACTTCTTATTTTCTCCACTTGAATGCATTAAAAAATTATCTTA